CAGGGAAACATAAAAATATATATATATATATATATATATATATATATATATATTTTTTTATTTTTTTTCTTGATCAGGGAAGGCACCACACATAACCGACTGCGCCATCACTCTTCAGAGCAGGTGCTGTTGGCGCAAAGATTCAAAGTTAGCCATTTTCAGTATCAACAAGATTTTTAAGAATTGAAACAGAGGAGTGAAAAAGATGTAAGAAGCTATTTAGACTGTAAACTGCATTTTCTGAGAGGCTTGTTAACTTTTCATTCAAGCGGTGTCTTTTAAAACAAGAGAGTCCCTATTTTAAAGCAATATCTTCTCTCTCAAACACAACATGACGTTGCCTACCCTCCGAGTTAGTGACATATTTCCATAAATTCCTGTTCTTGTACTTAAACAAAAGCTGGAACCGGCAGCTTGAAGCTTAGAAAAAAAACAGATCTAACAATAATTTCAAGATTTCTTGAAATTATGCCCTTTCCACATAAAGCAAGTGTATGATCAAATAGGTAAATAGGTATTTAGGGCTCAACTTATAGTAAAATGCAAGTTAAAATCAGGGGCAATCCTCTTCTTAAAACCACTCAAAATGTTTCTGGCCTAAAAAAATAAAAAATAAAAATAACCTAGAAATTTTGGTAAAAGACAGTTCATTATATTCACAGCTTTTCTGATGACGAAATCTGATTAATTTGCTGCAGCTCAGCGGCCTGAAATGCTGAACAGCCGCTGTATCAGAGCATCAGCCGACCTCTTGCCGTGTTTGCAAACTAACCGGACAGCATTCTGGCTCTGCCTCCACCTGCAGCTGTTTGAACACATCCCTCAGCTCTCACACACACACACGCGCGCGCACACAATCACACACACTCACAGGCAGCCAAGAGCCTAAAACACGTAGGTAGATGGCATTGGCGAGGAAAGCAGTTGCTCTGCAGTACCTATTAAAGACCACTAGGGGAGGCTCTTAAGTCTACAATCAGGCTCTACAGCTGCTCATCATTGGCCATCTGTGGCTGCCAGAGATATATTCTGTACATGCAGTCAGTTAATCTGATGCGAGACTTTTGCTTCGAGTAGGCAAACATTTAGATTATACACAGAAAGCGTTACATCATCCATCTTTTTGTTTGTTTTATACAATCTGCACATCTTCCACTGCTTTTCAGTGAGAAAACAAGAGTTTGACCACGACGGTGGATGGCGTGGCCAGGCTCGTTAATAATATTGGGAGTAGTGGGTGAAGCTAAATCTGATCACAGAGGGAGGTTTTGCATACAGACACCTTGAATTATTCCACATTATACTCGAGGTCTCCCTCGCCCCTCCCGCCACCTCACAGGGGAGACGCGGAGGCCGCCTCCTCGCTCTACTTCGTCCGCTGGTCTTCCTCGTTCTGACTGTAGAGGCATAGAGGGGGGGCGAGAGGGAGACCTGCCTTTTTTTTTTTTTTTTTTGTAGGATGGGTTTTTAGGTTTTCCCTCCCTCCGTGCCGTGCGCATGTAGAGCTCAGTCCCCCAGGATGACTTTCACAAAGCTAGCCACGTCAGTTTCTTTGGCCTCGTGGGAGGTGAAGAAGGGATGTTGCTGTGGAGGAGACAGAGGTCAGCTTAGTCTGAATGAAATCAGGAGTCTTTCATAAGGGCAGACTTGCATCCCTAGCAGGACTGAAGACATAAAGATGCTAACCATCAGCTTTCTGTACTTTGTAGTTCCTTATAATCCTTACTTTGATGTCATTTTTTTATTATTATTGTCTGTCTTAGTTGCTTTGTCATTTTGAAATGACTTTCTTGTTTTTATTTTGGATAATGATGATCAGTTTTGATAGGCATTTTTAAGCCTTTTAAGCCTCACTTCATTGTTTTTGCCTTTAGAAGTAACTTTCTGTCTTTTGTATTGTAATTGTTCTTAAGGTTTAAGAGTTATTTATTAATGCACTTGTTACTTAGTAAAACAATTTAGGGGCTTTTTAGGTCAAATTTCACCTCATAAAGTTGTTTTATCAAAAGTGTCAACATGGGCTTATTTAGTCCATTTGTTTGGTTTTTGACTTTAACTTTATTTGTTTTTGAGGATTTTTTTTATTTCATCCCTGAGATGTTTTAATTTGGACCGTTCTTGTGTGAATCTACTCTTTAAACCCGTGTCTTTTCCCTCCCTGCTTTTGGATCTTCTTACATCTTGTGGAAATCATTTTGCATCTTTCTATAATGCAGTGGCGTCCTCTAGTGGCCATCTTGTCTGAAAAGTCTTTGCAGAAATGACAATGCTATTGTCTATCTGCATGTACAAATATATATATATATATACTTCTTTTTTTTTACATGATTTGTTGTCTTATTTAATACTTTATCATTCAATCTGTCTTTCTGATCATTTTTAGAATTTACTTCTTCCTTCTGTGGATTTATATTTCTACAGGTGTAGCTATTATGAACGTTTGTTCTCACTGTGCATCTCTTATTTTTTATTTTTTTAGCTTAACATCTATAGACTACGACAATCTCTCTGTTTATTTTGTCAGATTTCTTTATGCATGTAATTATTGTAAATGTTCTTTGGTTATTTTACCATCTATTTGTGCCTAGGATTTGTCTCTCTGAGGAGGTTTGGTATCTATATGTATTCATTGTAACGTAACTGACCACTACACTGTGCAAAATAACCACTTTGGTCTTGTGTGGTTTGATTTGGTTTTGTTGGGTGTGTGTTTTGTTACTTCAGCCTCTGTTCTTTGTTTGACTGACTTTCTTGTGGTCATACATCCCTTTTTTTTCCAAAATTGGGTCATTTAGGATCATTTTGCAGTCATGTGTAATAGTAGATCCTTTTATACATACGTTATAGATTTTATCAGCTCCGTAGTGTGTAATTAAAGCCGTGACAAGTAGAAAACTAGACATTAACAGAAGGACAAGGAAAAAAGAGGAAACTCACCATGAGTTCTGTGTATGTTGGCCGCTCTTTGGCGTTTTTCTTTAAGCTGTGGTCAAAAAAAGAAAAAAGAAAAAACAAGACCAAAATACAGAATTACTCTAAAACAACTTGCAACAAGTTGTTTCTGTACTTTCACATTCAGTTTTGCAGTTCACAGGAAACGAGCAAGACTGATTTGAGTCAATTAGTGTGATGGTGGATGGAACATGAACAGCCGCATGGCTCTGCCGGTAAAAATCAGCTGACTCCATTTTCTGAGAAATCATTTGCCCATCATTCGAGGACAGAAGAGTGAGAAGAAACGTCCATTCTGCAGGGAAAGCTGGAGTCGCAGCAGAATATCACAGACAGTTTATGCTACTTTGGGCTCAGAACACCAACAGATTGGTACAAGATCATCCTGCAGCAGAACAAAGAGCCCACACATGCAGACAGAACTGTGATGGTCTGGATTCTATGGAGGGCAGGATTCTGGAAATAAAACTATCTTCATCTACAGGGTACAAACCTGCGTCACAGGGCTAGAACACATGCTGCTCTTTATTCATCTAAATATTCAATTATGCTGGAGGTAACTATGCAAACTTCTCTGAGTTTGAATGAGTTTAAGTATTAGCACACAAAACACATCGGAGTACACCTGCAGGATTTAGATGTTTCATAAATCAATGAAAACTGTCAAAAAGGATGTTGGGTTCACCGACATCTCTCTGAATCATTTTGTACATCTTAGGCTGAAGATCAAATGTCAAAATTTGCTGCCCCTCATTAATGCCGTCACAGAAAAAAAAAGACACTTGAAAGCTTAATTCAAGCAAAAACTAGAGCTGCCAAAGTTTCCTGTAAATTCTCAACATAGCTTTGATATGTACAAAATGACAAATAAATAAAAAATACTCTTCAGCTGATGGAGTCAGATGAGAAAACACTCTGTCAACACTGATCACTGAGGAAACTGGTTTAATTAAATTATCTAAAACAAAGACTCTGGACCACTGGAATGTAGTCCACATTCTGGATGCATCCATGTCTGGAGTTTCTGCACTTCCCTGGATTTTCTTCAACATTTCAAGGTTCTAGTTATCGCTGCAGTTTGTGCACTTATTACTATCACATCGTTCCTTCCACTCACAACTGGCTAAAAAAAAACAAAAAAAAAAAAAAACGTTTTTGCCAGGTCAAAATTTTCCAAAAACCTGATTAGAAACCAGCTGCAAAGCAACAAGACAAGACCAACCATTTTGGTAAACCCATATGTTTGGATATCAACAACTGGAACACCACTTCTGCTGTTACTTTGTCAGAAGAAGTCAAAGGGCAGCAGAGTAAACCTGAAGGTCAACTTGAAACATCAACAAGAAATGTGACTGATCTCATTAGTTTCACGAAAAGGCAGAAGCCTTTTCATGATATGAAGAAAGGCTTTTCACACCATTCTTTATATTAAAGAGATCCGTCCGCAGCTCACGCAGTCACTGGCTGCATCTTCCTGTTACTATAATACCTGCATCTGTAACTAAGCAACTGAGAAAGGAGGAAACAAAACCAGCGGCAGGAAATAAGAGGCAACAAGTTTAAAAATGAACATCAGGTGGACACAGAGACAGATCCAAATCAGAGCTCAGAATTGATGCGTTGCAGTGAATGCGTTGAATGGCTGCTAGTGCCAACAGGTTGTATCAGTCAGGTGAAAAACTTTGCTCTTATGGGAATGGAAGAAAATAACGTTTTCTGACAGCTGTTACATCGTGGGCCTGTCAGGATAACAAATTTTGCCAGACGATTAATTGTCCCAGAACTTATTGCGATAAACGATAATATTGTTGTTTTGAGACAATTTTCAAGAAATACAATGGAAGAATATTATAAGAACACTTAGACCAATAAACTTTAAATTCTGATGAACATTTAAATATTGGAACTGGAAGACATAGTAAATATGCAAAATAAATAAACAAAACAACAGAAACAACAAGTAAAATTAATTTTGAAGTCTCTATAGGCAAAATTGTCTTTTAAAAAAAGGCATAGTTGAGACCAAAGCAACAGACTGAACACCAGTTTGGATAGAAAGAGAGAGAAAAGAAACACAATAAATCAAGCAAATGAAAATTTTTGCGATTGTTTTAGTTTATCCTGTGATTAATTGATTTATTATTTATTGTGACAGGCCTAGCTACATATGACGCCTCATTCAATGAAACAATTAAAATGGAATCAGTGACTTAAGATTTTTTGGGTCGCCTTTTTAGATCTCTTAACGTTTTTTACTCGCCGTCTTCCAAAAAGATGATTCAACTTTATCAGATGTAAACAAGCAACTTGCATAGGAAACAATAACATACTAATTCTATCAGAAACAACACTATTAACAACGATTTCCTGTCTAATCTGTGGTAGTTTTCATTTGCTTCTAGGAAAGTGGATCAACATAGAGTGACACAAAGACGTACCACTGAGAGGTGAAATCCACAAAGTCAGGGGAGAACCGGTCGGCAGGAAGCTGGGGCGAAGGTTCTTCTACCACCTGCTTCAGCTGCTGAAAGGGCGTTCCCCACGAGTCGTACGGGAAGCGCAGGATGGCAAGCTCGATCTGTGAACACGCACAAACTCGTTTCTTACACTTGAAATAAAGGTGAGGGTGAGACAAACGACTATGCAGAGCTGTGGGGAACACGGACAATAAATAGCTGTGGATTCCCACAATCTCAGTGAAAAGTGAAAGAAAAATCCACGTTTTCAGTTTTAAGAATTACTGAAATGCTGTAACCCTTCTTACCAGAAAGTGTGGGAACCAGTGATCTAATAACAGTTTTTTTTTACTAAAATACAAGATGTGTTTATTTTAAGATTTTTTTTTTTTTTTTAAACAACTTTAACTGGTGTGGCAACAAGTGTGGATGGTGCTGTATTCTCCCAACAGTTCAGGTGTTACTTATTTTTACTTAATAGCCCTACCATTGTGATTCCTAAACTCCAGATGTCGGATTTGACGTTGTAGCCTTTCTGGTTCGTCTCCGGGTTGATCCTCTCGGGCTGAGGTTGAAGAGATGAGACGGTCACAAATTTTTACGTTCGAACGACTACAGTTCTTAATTTATAGGAAAAGATGCTGCTTACCGCCATGTAGGGTTTGCAGCCGGCGTCCATAGTTTTAGCCACAGAGTCCACCAGGTAGCCGCTGATGCCGAAGTCGCACATCTTCACTTGGCCCTGAGTGTTGATGAGCACATTGGAGGGCTTCACATCTGGAGAGACAACAGAGCAAACAGCAGTTCTTGTTTGATTAGGAAAAAAAATGTTTTTGCGGGTTTTAAAAATGAGAAGCTGTCTTCTTACGTTCCACATGCTAAAAGAATTGTAAAATAAATGTAAAATAGATATTATAATTGATGTATCAGTACGCATGGCAGTTGTCATGTTACTACAACTTAAAATTTGAAACCAATACAAAGAAAAATAGTCGACACTATTTTTGACGGTGCAGCACAATGTTTCCTAGTTGAGAGAAAAATATGATTAGTTACAATATGACGATCTCATAGATCCCTTAATTATTGAAAAACAAGACATTTTAGCCCTCTTTTAGAAAATTATATAATTTAAAAGTGTCACTGCTCTGCTTTGTGAGACAGTATAAGAATATTCAATCTACTGAAACTGCATGTTTTTAATATTGAGGCAACAATTTAACTTATTACTTTAGAGCACAATAAATAAAATTCCAAGTTGATATTCAGGCACCCTTTATTTAATTAAAAGTTAATTAGAAATGTGTGTTTGCACAGCATACTACTTAGCACCAGTTCGGACCTGGTACAAAGTAGCTGCACTTAACTTCTCTTTTCATGCATCTGCATGAACATCTGTCTGCATCTTCCACCAAATGCTAAAGCCTCCTCAGAAAGAATGCTCAGGCTCCTCTTGTAGGCCATATTTTAGCATTTTATATTTTAACGCATGCATCAAAGTACGTAAGACGTGTGTACATTTTCCCTTTTCAGTGACTGACTGAAATTGCATCAAAAAGATCCCAACTGACGTTTAAGAAGGCAGGAAACCTAAGACATTTAACCTGTAGAGTGCTCTTCACCAGAGACAGCTTCACATTTCAGAACTTTTCTCGAGTATCGTTATGATCCTTTAATAGGATCTGGAAATAGTCTAAAGGAAGGAAGGAAGCAGCTGACTGGATATCGACAGCATCTCCGAGAGTTAAATGGGTTTCCACTCAGGCTCTTACCTCTGTGGATGACTTGCAGATTGCTGTGCAGATGCTCCAGAGCCTTTACTATCTGTAATAACAGAAGTCATTAATAAACAACTGGGAGTTGCATAGCAAATATCTAAAGCACGCATTCATGTGATGCTGCTAGTGAAGTAACCCACAGAGACAGCGATTTTTCCCAGGATGTCCTCGGGAATGGTCAGGTCCTTCTCGATCACCTGCTTGTAGAACTTGTCCAGGGAAGTGTCCATCAGCTCCATGCAGATCCACACGTCACCCTGGCAAAAGATGGGGGTAGGATTTGGAAAGAGATCAAGACACAAAGCAGCCAGACGGATTCCCATCAGACAGGAAGTTTAAAAAAAAAAAAACCCTAAAAGAGGAAATCCTGGTCATTCATTCATTGATGCAGGAAGTTTTCTCCATCCGATAAAAATCCTCAGAAGAGGTTTTAGTCACAAGAATGTTAGCCAGGAATAAAACAAAGGGTTAGCCCTGCTGTACATTATATATGTTATACATGAACTGCATGCAATATGGGAATCTTTTGTCATAGAATAGGAGCTGCAAAGTGATTTCAAATGATCTTGACCTGCTTGTATTCAAGTACATCCAGTAAGTTTCAGTCTAATGAAATGGTTGAACAAACAAGTTCTCCACTTCATTTCACTCTTTATTTATATAAACAGACAGCAATGTTCTGAACTGATGATGCAGTTTTCTTAAATAACATTTTTTTAGCAGCCATTTAAAGTCTCTGGCACAACTCATGTTTCCAATTTTATTCTTCAATTATCTTCCTTTTTCTCATCTCTGCCTTAGACAGGCTTTAAAATTGTCATTGAAACAGAGAGGACACCTAATAAATACTGTGTTGTACATTAGAGTCCATACAAAATAGCATACCTCTCTGAACAACGCTCCATAGAAAGTGACGGTGTAAAAACAATCCACTGTCCTCATGGAGATGTCCAGATCCATCAGCAGCCTCTTCTGCTCCTGAGTGTTAACAGTGGCCCGAATCCGCTGGAAGGGAACGACAGGAAATCTAATTCATTAATACACCGACCGTTTGTGTTGATTACGCAAGGAACAGCCAGAATCTAACAAAGTCAACTCATGGGGAACGTCCTCACTGTGGGGACCACCTGTAGCAGCAGTTGCTGAGGAGAAACTTTAGTCTACTCTTCTTCACAGCTCACTGAGGTCTGTAGAAATCGCAGCTCTCACAGTGCCTTGATTCTGCTTTTACTCTGTCATTCTGTTGCCCATTTACTGCTGTATTCAGCATCTTCAACCTGTTGATGACTTTGATTGGTTAAAAACTTCAGCAGTCTCATGGCCTCATGTTTCTCTCTAGAATACTTTGGTATGCAGAGGAGGTCACAGCATACTCATTCATTTGCAAAGTGTTCTGGTTCTGTGACTTCGGCACAAGCTCAGATCATCAACCCACCATCACCACAGCTTACGGTTGGTTCAAGGTGTTTGGGTTTTCTCCAGACGTGGTCCAGAGACGTCGCTACAGAAGTCTTGCGGCTCATTCAGATGCAACTTCCTAAGTCTAAGTTGTCCAAATTCCAGTTTTGTATATTCTTTCTGACTGTAGAATGATGAGTTTCAAATGGATGCACAGTTAAGAGTTGCTTCTCTAAGGCCGCTGACATTGTGTCAACACACACATCTATCTTCTAAAACCTCTTCGATTTACAGAGGTGGGCACACCTGTTACGACCAGGTAGGTGGTGTTGGTCGCGCGGGTCTAAAGTCCTGCTCTAGTTAGCTATTGGTTTCACTCTCATGAGAATTCCTCCACAGCTGTCCAAACTGACATAGAGACTACAGTCTTCTGATTGTGCCTGCTCATAGCTGCTCTACACAACCCAATGAGAAATAAAAACATTCCTGTAACATTTGATTAGATATTGACCTGCATGCCACGGTCAGTCGTTTTTGCAGCGTTCAGAGATTTCAACCACAGGGATGATTGCTAACTGACCAATGACAATGAGTTTAAAAGGTAAACTGATATATGTAAAGTGGATGTTTGGCGATAGTAGGTGTTCAGAGAGACTAATGAAAGCAGAGGGTATGTGATGTTCTGGGCGACAATAACAGGCTTTGATTTACTCACCTTAACAGCCATGATAAGGTCACTGGGCACATGCCTCATCTTGTCCACCACACCGTACGCTCCTCGTCCCAGTTCGCAGATCTGCTCCAGATCATCTGCTTTCACCTCACATTTCTGCTCCAAACACAGCAAGAGGACAGCGTCAAAGGGGTGAAACTTTTCACAATGGATGTGTTTCATGTCTACAAAGCTGCTAGTTGGCTTCCAGCATTTATTAATACATAAGGAGGGGGGGGGGGGGGGAAAATTTTAAGGGAAAAAAATAAATAAATTAAGCCCTTCTGCCAACGGAAAATTCCTATTATTTGAGGAGTTTAAAATAAATATTTTTACAGCATGATGGGCATTAAAGAGCATTCCTGTCTCCCCACAATCAGAAGAGTTAGAGACAGCTGTAATGTCCAACGGAGCGTTCTTTACAGCTAGCAGATGCTACTCTGAGCCCACCGGAATTATAAACAGTAAAGGCACCAAGGGAAGGAATAAAAGTCCCCAGCGAGACGCTACAGCACAAATAAAAATTCAACGGGGTCAGAAGTGGTGGAGCAACTGAGAAAGTATTACCTTTTCTCCAATTGTTACACAAGCCTTTGAATCCAAATCTCTGGGGGGTCTAAAAAACACAAAAGGTAGCATTATTACACATAAATTGGTTAAATTGGATGGCAAGAAACATTAAACGTGAAAATTGGCAAGCAGCAAAAAAAGCCCGTGATAAATTAAACCCAGATCCAAAATCAGCACTTAATATATAATTCTAAAAAAGAATTATTTTCAAGTGTATGTAATGGTTTGTTTTCATCCACGCTGCCACCATTTACTGTACACATCAGGGCTGGCAAAGGCAAGAAACTGTTCAATATTTTCTTATTTCTTGATTACATCAAAACATATATTTTTATTTAGTACATAATTATTACCCTCATAAAAATAAATGAAATGTTAAACGTAGATTTAACAAGCTAGAAATGAAATAAATGTTCTTTTTTTTTCTTTTAAATGTATTTAAAATCAGCACGTTAAAAAAAGGAATGTATGAAAATTATTGCCACTACCTGCAATGAAAATAAAAATGAGAAAAATTACATATTGCATCATACATTTTGTATGGAATTTAAGAATGCAAAAAAGGGATTTTTAATATAACATATTTCTATGTTTTTTTTTCATGTAAGAAAATACATGAAAAACAATTAATGACTTAAAACTAACAGCAGTACTACTAAAAAAAATATATAGAAATGTAACTAAAGTCTTTCTGCAGATGTCTGCATCTTAAAAACAACTGACTTAATTGAGATTTAAAAAAAAAATAAAAATCAGGACTGAAATGTGAGGTTGCAAGTATTTGTGATCAAAAAGGTTGAGAGCAGAAATTTGCTTATTTTGCAGGAACACGGTTTCTTCCTGTTGTTCTGTGGATTTGTATTTCTCACGTTCAGCAGTCTGACGAGGTTCAGATAAGATCAGGTATGTGCCGAGCAGGAAGTGAGGATCAATAAAGTGCAGGATTTACGGTGTATGTTGAAGGTAAAGAGCCTTACACGGCAGCAGGTGTGGGCTGCTCAAACACCTCTTTAGAGAGCTTCAACACCGGCTTCTTCTTACCTGCAAAACAAACAAAACAGCGTTAGAAATTTGCTTTTACAATGTTAGCTTCTCTAAAATATGAACATTTTGCACTCTACATTAAGCTAATTCCATTCTAAAAGCACAAAGTACCTATTTTTATGCATTTTTTATGAATAACAGCAGTGGAAAGAAAAAAAAACACCAAAAAAAAGAGAAAACGTCTGCAATTAAGACTGAGAGTAGTTAAACAAGAACTATTTATCACAGACTCTGGTGTGTACAATGTCATTCTGAATGCAGGGGATTTACTGTTCAGAAGCCAAGAGGCCTCTCACAACCTCTTCTATTAATAAAAACATTTTAATGTTTTTATTAATAGAAGCCAGAGATGGCATTATATATGTCAAATATGTAATAAGTTCACATTTGCAAAATTTTCAATATAGCTTGCATATTGAAAAATTACTTTGTTGAATTATTCTGCATTAAAATAAAATCTAAAAATGCATAACACAGAGATTTGTTTTAGAATTAAACCAAAACATAAAGGCATCAAACAGAAATCGGGCTATCAATGTATTTATCTAGACTGCTACAACTGCCTTCGCTAGCTTTTATTAGAGAGCAAAACTTTGCACCGTGACGGTCAAATGATCTTAAATATAAATATGCATTCACATTACATTAGAATACACAAGGACATCTTTATGTGACTGTGTGACGGCTCAGCTCTCCAACAGTACTTGTAGTACTTGAGGTACAAGCGACAAGTATACTTGGAACCACAAACTGACATATTTCTCTTAAAATGTTAAATCACATCTAGTAACCGTTCTGTAACTTTCTGTGCACTAGTTTGTGCAAACTTGTGTAATCCTGGAGCCTGTGTGAGGAAGGAAAGCAGACGGGTGGATGGCTGCACTGGCAGCGGAGCATACCACAAGATGAAAGCATACTTAGCGTCTTAACATAGCTCAGGATGAAAGAACAGTTGATCATCCTGCTCAACTTTCTGTTTTTTTTTTTTTGTTTTGTTTTGTTTTTGTTTTTTGCAGTCACAACAAAGAGAGCTAATTATATACAATTTTAAAATGAACAAACTGACGCGCAGTTCCAAAAGAAAAAACAAAAGCTGCATATTTGAGCAAAAATACGCAGCTAATTTGCTGCTAATTTTTAAACAGCAGCTGTAAAAATCCACATGTTGTGATCATTTCTTTCACAGCTACAAATACAGTTAAAGACAAATGGTGCGATGCCCGAGTGTTTCTGCCTGGGTGGATGAAGTCACTTAAATTATGAACCGATTCATCTGGATTAGAGTCAATCTACAATTTACCAATGTCATCATTAGTACTCACGGTTAAATGCAGTGTCTGGCTCCAGATCCTAGCTAAATGTTAGAGGTAAGAGGAAGTAGATGTCTGGCAGCCCGGGTGTTTTTGCCTCATATGAAGCTGCTGTACTGACAGTTTAATAGCAGTACGCTTTGTTAACCATAACTGCTTTCTGTGAGTCGTTGGGTTGCAGACCGTGTCTGGCTCAAACCTCCTCAGACCGGGTTGCAGAAGAGCAACCTGGTCAGTATTTACATATAATTGGATTAAAGTCTCAAGAGGGTTCTCTAGTTGGACCTAAGCTAAGCACTAAAAAACTGCATTACTACATGTTCACATATTACATTGGAGGGTTCACGCTGAATAAAAAGTCAATTTCAAATTAAGTCATACCACACAGCTATACTAATTTCAAAAGAACGTAGCAAAACCACAGGTAGTACTGCGTCAAAAGCTAAATATTCAAATCAGTTTTTGTTCTGTAGAAAGAGAAAGTAACTCAGCTAAGGACAATTCAATGTTATTCCACCGAAAGTTAACTGTAAAGCTAAAATCATAAGAAAAATAGCAACAACAAAACCTAGTATTGCAACAATCAGCAAAGCAAAAATAATTTCCTAAAAAAAAAAAAATGGTAGCAACACACGTTAAGACTTCAAAACTAAATAAATACAATAAAGAGTAACATAGTTAACATCACATTGTAAGTTAAATACATGGCTTAAATCAGTGATGTCCAACCTTTTTGCAACAAGAGCCAAAATCGTCAAATTAAAAAAAAAAAAAAAAAAAAACACTTGAGGGCCATAGAAAATTGTATTTTTTAAAATAAAAACAGATTTATTGTGCCTTTTTTTAAAATTATTTCTGCTCAATAATAAACTAAGAGTGCAAGATTTCATTGAGTCGAATAAAATGTACATTTTCTATTAAATTAAATTTAGCGCCATCAATCAGTTCTACTACATAATCTTGCTTTAAAAACATTGTGATATCCAAAATTATGTAGAAAAGAACAAAGTCGACCACTGATAACAGGTGAAGCGCCTGGCAAAATGCACGCTGATAGTTCCTATTTAACAAGAACCTCTAAAATCTTTGACATGATGTTTTATCTGGTTGTGAAATCACCACATATAAAATAAAATAAAAAAAAAAAGATCATTGTATCGTCCCACCAACAGGAGGCAATGATGATGTCTTACAATAAATGGCTATGAAGAAGATGACAGAATATTTCAGATTTTTCTTGAGATTGTTTATTCGGTTTGAGACATAGAAAAGCTGATAATCAAATTGTAACTGTATAGCAATGGATACTTAACAGTGTGTTTTTTTATCCTGAAAATATTAGGAAATATCATCTCATACTATTTAAAGCAACGCTGAAGGCGTCTCTCTTCAGAGAGCATGGAGCAAAGCCAAAAGAATAACTGGAATTTCTGACGTTGTCGTCTTGAGGGAAAATACAAACAAGTATCTGCAGATGAACCTGTCCTTCAGAGAGTTTTCCTGAAGCTTTCCAACATACACAGAAACACACACACACAGTGCTGTGTGTCCTGGTTTTTATCCAACTGTGCAGGGTGTGACGCTGCCGTCCTATGCAGTTCTCCACTGGTGGCCTCATGCTGCCAGCATCCTGGTCTCCACTTTCCAAAGCAGCTTTGTTGCAAAATGTCACTTTGAGCCCCTCCTACATGCATTTACACAGACAACAATAGTAACTGGAAACCGGGAACGCTGTAACAACTCACACTGTAAACCAGAAAACAGACGGAGAGTCAACACCTGCATCAAATCTGCACATTACCTGGTAATTAAAGTAATCTCCATCCATAAATTCTATACTAATCCCACTGAAATATTGTTCTGAGGTATACATCCTTCCGGAAAAACTCTATAACTTCGAAAATGGATGGAGGAAAAATCAAAGCAATTTAACTATACATTTTAGGTTGTAAAACAAAAAAGCCCAGAGCCATTTTAGATGGCAAAAAAGGTCAAATGCTTTTCAACTTTTCCAAATTTGGTTACTTTACATTTTCAAAATATCTTGATTTGATTTTATGCAACAAACCAGCACAGACTACTGTATAATTATGAAACAGTTATACATTTTTATCCAAACTTTTACTGTGGAAACAAAACACTGGAAATGTACAATTCAATGCTACAACAATAGCCTTAAACAAAATGAAAAAAAAAATAAAAATACTGCAAACAAACGCTTTTATAAGTCAAGTAGAGCAAACCTGTGTGTGACTTTATCTCAGCATAAATAAATAACACTAAATGTAATCACAGAGAACTGTTCAATCCACCATCTGAAGATGGAAAGACTGTAAACATGACGGTCCACCTAAACTGACAAGCTGGGAGAGGAAAACATTAATCAGAGAAGCAGCCAAGAGGTCCATGATAACTCTCAGAGAGCTGCAGAGATCCATAGTTCAGGTGATAGAGCAACTATTGGCCAGGAACGCCACAGAACAGCTCTTTGTAGAGGATTGGGGGAAATGAAGGTCCACATCTAAATCCAGTGAATCTCTGGTGAGACGTAGAAAATGATATTCGCAGATGTCTTCCATTAAATGGGAATGAGATTAAACCAGTTAGTTAAGAAGGATGGGCAAAGTTTCAGTCTGAAGACGCAAAGATGTCGGATTTTTGAAAAATACAAGAAAAGTCTGAGGGGACCTTACTAAAACTCACAAACCCGAGTTTCTAGATTTTTATCTGTAAGGGAAAAATATTGGAAAACAATAAATCCTTCTCCTTCCACTTCACAAGAATACACCAGTTTGCAATGATCTGTCTCAAAAATCTACCCCCAGAAAATGCATGCAATTCTGTGGTTGCAAAGTTACAAAGCGTGATAAAGTTCATGACGTTTGAATACGTCCACAAGGCACCGTTTGGTTTTAAGGTGCGTATACACTCAAATATAAAAATAGACTGCACTGTAGATATTTATAGACACAAACACATACATACCCATTCAGCTTCTGAGTTTGTTCCTGCTGTTAACGTGAAACCAAGTGCAAAATAAACATAGAAAGTTGACATGTCACGGACCATTTACAGTTTATGAGCAGCTTCTGGTTGCCGTTTGTTAACAAAAGACAAAAAAAAAAAAAAAGATAAAACTCGTTTCGCTTTTTTTTTTTTTACATAAGGATTCAGAGTGTTAAATTAACATAAAATAAGTGAAGAGAAAAAAAATCATGCCCACAACACTGGAAATGATTAACTAAATGTGAGCTTTAAGTGGCAGATTAACTGAGTCATGACGACTTCATGAGTTCCTCACCAAATTCAATTTGAGTCCGTCTAAAAAAAGGTGTAAGCACCTGAGGCATCAAAAAAAATATATTCCAGCAGAAGTCTGGCAACTTCCACATTTAGAGAAAGAAGGATCAACATTGTCTGCATCAACCTGCACTTCTTCACATCACTGACCAAAAACAATGCATTAACCGAAGGCCAGCTGTATGATTACAACAGAGCAACAACATAGTTTTTCCTTCTTCATGAAATGGACTGGAAAATGCTTCAGATGTACTCAGATCATGAGGCAAGAAGCAGCATGTTCCTCGCAGCTAAAGAACAGAAGCCTACTTCAAACCTCTGCAGAGATCTTACCATGGAAAGCCATGAAAAACACTGGCAATGCAAAGGTTTCCCAAAACAAACATC